GTATATTAAGTTCGTCATTCCGTTTGTAACTCATCGAAATAATCATTTTAGACCAAACAAAGCGTAAAATTCTAAGACGATTTAGAATTTCACGATATCGTACAGCCCCCATATAGCGGTACCCCCGATATTCGGTATTTGGAAGATTGTACCCATATTTTTTAACGGAATTGTATGAAAATCCACACAAGGAGTTACTTTATACCTCGGAAGAGAATTATCTATATAGGTCCACGGTATCATATAGCCCCCATATAACGGTAGCCCCCGATATTCGATATTTTAATAATTTTAGTCACATTTTTCAACGGAATTATTTGGAATTCTACACAAGGAGTTCTTTGTGAGTACCTTACCCCCTAAAAGAGATACCGTATATCCCTCATATAACGGTACCCCTGATATTCGGTATTTTGATGATTTTAGCCACATTTTCCAATAGTAATGTCTGATAATCCACATAAGGAGTTCTTTGTGAGTACTTTATCCCCTGGAAGATAATTATTTGTATAGGTCCACGTTATCGTATAGCCCCCATATAACAGTTCTCTTTGTGAGTGCTTAACCCAAAAAAAAAATAGATTTGTCTATATAGGTCCACAATATCGTATATCCCCCCATATGTAGACATCTTCCGATGATAGGTATTTTAAAGATTTTAACAGAGTTTTTAATGGATTTTATTTTTTTGAAAATTTTCTAATTCGTTCCAAATGGTGGAGGGTATTCAAAGTTCGGCCCGGCCGAACTTACTGCTTTTTTACTTGTTTTTTTCTAAATGTGCCCGACTTCTGTCAATTTTGTTTATGTATTAATTGTTTTGAAAATTAAAACAGACTTGCGATATGCACATTAAAGCTGTTTGCCAGTTTTGCCATGAAATTGAAAGATAGAACTGTTGAGAACATATTTTTAAAAAAAATGCAGGCATTTCATTTAGTAAAGCTATATATATAAAATAAAGTTGTGTTAGTTACTACACTTATAACTCAAGAACCGCTCATCTGATGTTAACGATTCAGACAAATTCGGAATTGTCTCTTGGCGGAAAAGGATAAAATCTAAACAAATCGCATAAAAATGTGAAATTTGAGCATTTTCTTTTTAACTTTTGAAATGTACAATAGTAGTGTTTTATTTTGCATTAGTTTTTTCCATTTTGACTTATTATTTTCGAATGTACATTTGGAGTGTTTTTTTTTTTTAATTAATTATGATGTGGATTCTTTTTGAGGAGTATAAAGCGACGAGGGACCAAATTGTTATATACAGATTTTATGTATTTATTGAGTAAAAGAAACAATAAGAATAATACCATTTCAGAAGATAATAAGCTATTAAACAAAAAAATCTATATTTTACCGTGTACAAACGTGTTTTTAATTTGATTAACTTTATTGCAGGCGGGTACCATTGAAGTGTAGTACCGAAATATGTGGTGGCGAAACTGAATAAATGATGTCGAAATAATTTAACGCGGTCACACCAAACTTAAAGGATAATTACTTTTTAAATCGCTAAAAAATCCCGAAAAATCCTTGCATATCGGGAAAAAATCAATAATTTTTTCAATGGAATTGAACTTTAAAATAAAAGTACATTCTATTGACAAACTTCGTAAGGACTTTTAATCATTGCTCTAAAAAATCAGCGAACAAGTTGAAGATTTTATTATAACTCAAGAACGGCTTGACGGATTTTAACAATTCATTCAATTTCCGAATGGTATCTTGGCAAAAAATTGCTTTAAATGCCAATAAAATAAGAATGGAAACCTTTATGGGGCTCATTTCAAAACGTGGACCTACTTTTTTCATCTGACAATAATCCGTACAATAAGAACTCAAAATGCAAAATTCATTGGGACTGCTATTAGGGAAATACCGAAGAAAAATAGCAGAGCAGTTGTACATTTAGTAAGAAAAGGATTTATATCCTTCCAGAAATTATTCCTAAATTTCCAAGTTCCTTAAATCGGTTTTGCAGGTCATGATATGGGTCATAACACCCGGATAAGGGTACAACCCTATTACAAGTATATTTTACATTTTAACCATATTTTTCATACTAAGAAAAAATCATCCTTGCAAAAGATTGTCAAAATACCGAATATAGGGAGGTACTGATGTATTAGGCCTATATGAAGACCTTTACCTGCATACACAATTTTCAGCCACAGACTTTAGATCCCATTACGAACTTTAAATACAAAACTACATTACTCCGGTAAATAATTTCGCCAAAATCATGATTACAACAGACAGACGGACATCGCTAAATCGACTTAGAAGCTAATATAAATGGAAAATGTTTCTAAGCCCTTTACAATACCAATACCAAATTGAGCTAGGTTTTCACCTGAGGCAATTACAGATGTTCTATATCATATAACTTTTTAACAATCAAGTTAAAGCCTATGGATAAAAAATAAGATCAGGCTATTCAAAATATTTGAAACCGACGAAAGGTGAACATCTATTATAATTTGTACCGTGAATATTTATTTCTATTTATAAAATACTATGGAGTTATTACTTATAATAAAATTATGTCACTTACATAGTCATGCAAATTTGACTGGAAGCGGGCATAGCCTCAGGGCTGTATTTCTGTAGTTTTACGAAGCTGTTCTAGCTCCTTTTTGTACCATGAAATCTAGTACAGATGCTGGAACAGAGCAGAAATGAAATAAATTAATTATTTCATTGAATTGTGAATTCCATATGCAAATGTTGTGTAAATTAAGCAACACAATTAAAGAGAGACTTTACAAACATTTTCGTGTAAATACTTAGTTCAAAATATGACACAATTACAGAAGGTAAAACAAAGCTACCCCCTGAATACAATTTTTTTCTTTGCTGCCCTTATTCTGTCAAAACATATACACATTTTGTGTATGTGTGTATTGCTTTAAAAAAATAACAATAATTTGAAATTATTTTAAATTCGGTTGCAAAATAAATGCATATATTCAACATTAATGGCATGGCAGAAGAACACAGGTAGATGCATCAACGCTTGGGAGCATTGATATGTCAAAAAAATTTAAATGTTTTTTCAAATATAAGTAGATTTTTATATGTTTTCTTATACTACGTTAATCGGAGTCTATTATAATTCACGTTTTTCAAGAATTTTTACAAATTTAAATAATTTTTCATTCAACATTTTCAATTCCAAAATTGGTTTGACAGTTCATTGTCCCAGCAGCTGTGTCGACGCGTCTACCTATATTCTTCTACCATGGTTAATGGGCAGCCCATTGTACAATTTTGGAATAAATCTGTATTGTCCTACTACTTTAGATACAATCTGGTGCATGGTAGAAGAATTTGGAATTGAAAATGTTGAATGAAAAATTATTTAAATTTGTAAAAATTGTTGAAAAACGCGTATTATAATAACCTCCGAATGATGTCGTATAAGAAAACATCACTTATATTTGAAAAGACATTTAAAATTTTTTGACATATCAATGTTTCCAAGCGTTGATGCATCTACCTGTATTCTTCTATCATGATCTGGTGGAATAACACTAAAAGCATTCTTGTTTCGCAGGTTTTCCCCAATATAAGAATTTGTTTTAAAAAAAAAGTCTATTTGACACTATAAGACTCCAGCACAGAGTTGCATTTTTCTAGTTTCTTTGAAATTAATTAACCTTTCTTAATGAGTCATGTTTCAAAATCAGTTTTTGCTAGCACAAAGTTTGTTTATGGTATCTACACTAAAAATATGGACTGTACCTTGATTTTAACAAACAAACAGACAATCATTACATTGATTTAGTATTTTTATTCTCTGAATATATAGTGTGAGGTCTCCGAGGAATATTTGGGATCTTAAAATGGAATGGCAAATTTAATATACCTTGGCATATATTGAATGTTTAAAAACCTCCACTATGATGTAAAGAAAACCTTTAAAAATAAAAAAACTCTTTTATTTTTGCCAGTGCCAAACGTTTGCAATTTCTGTTTACAAATGTGAATATAATCACCGAAATACCAAATATTAGGAGGTGAAGCTTTATGTGATATAATAAATAATGGGCAAAAACAATTTTTGATTATTATCTATACATATTAACAAAATGAAATCGTTTATGGTATGTATAGAAACCCGGAAACAGTAGTAAAACGTACTTTGTTTGTATTACTTTCTAAAACATTCGACATTTTTCACCAAACAAATTAAACACATGTATTTATATGAATGTTGCCGAAATACATAGAACGTACGAAATTTCAAAGTTGAACAATTTCGGCATTGACCATTGAACACAAAAAGGGAATGTTTTTAATTGGTTTGTAAAAACGTTACTAATAGACCTATCGCTTTCTGCAAAAATGGCTTTTTGTTACAAACTCGTGCCAACATTTTACATTTGTGGCGGGGAATTCACATGAGAATTTGTTAGGAACTATATTCCTCAAAAGTTTTCTTAAAATATTTATTAGTAATAATTTTATTTTACAGCTTACGATAAACATTTGTGTCCCTACTCATCATATGTACATAATAAAATTTAAGTGGTTTCATGTGAACTAGTAATTCTATTCCATTGTTTTATTTGGAGCAGTCGTGAAGTCATGCAAAATGCTCGTGGTTCTTCACATTTTATTAATAACAAAAATGTATATGCTCAAGTTGTAATATATGCAAAATAGAGTAGGGTCATCAATTTTAATAAAAATATCAACTTTTTATTGTGCCGACAGTCCAGTTGAAAAACATTTTAGCGGATTCCCGCTTATTCACTTCAACGCACTAATGAGTTGTACCCAGTGTAAAAAACAACTTCCACCGTTCAAAAATATCTAGTACGGAATCATTGACCTCCCCATCAAATACTTCGTTGGCATTCAACATTTTGCTCTATTCATATACATCCATATTGTATATTGTTTTTTTTTTTCGTTATAAGCTCTGAAGTTTCGCTTAGAATTGCAATAAACATTTTCTTTTTTTATCGGGGGTCTTGTCTTATCTTCAAATACGGTATTTTTAAAAACTGTTTTATTTGGCATTACAAATACTTGAAATTCTAAACATAAGACCGTGAACATTGTTGTAGGAATCTAAGCTGAATGTTACTGATGTGGTTCTGAGTCATGATGTGGTTTTCAACTTGAAGAAAGCCGTTGCACTTCGGACGTCTATTTATGGTACACAAATTTACTATACATTGAATGTATGGTTCTCTGGGTACCTTGTTATGACTGTATTTGGTATATTATTGTTACAATGATTCCATGTAGAATTAGACTCCTCCTTAATCTCGTTCTCAGTTTGGTTTTTATAAACAGCTTCAATATCAGACTCGCTCACAAATTTTGGTGATGTGATTCCCAAAAAATTAGCTAGGCCTCCACCAACATAATCAATCCCGTTCAAAAATTTGCAGCCTGCTTGGTATACCATATATTTGATGCGTGGTACCGTTGGCAAGTCATTCTAGATAGCAGCAAATATTAAACAAGTAGTAAACAAAAACTTTATTAATTTAATTATTTAGTTCACAACTAAACCAAATTACTCACAACATCTATATCAACATTCATATCTGCAGTATCCACTGTTTCTTCGCCCTCACTATCGGAAAAATCTTCCATCGCTCCATCACTAAAATACAGGACTCGCTTTGATTTTTGCAATTCCAATCTATCGCACTCATTTGCTTGTCCAACCTCCATTTCCGAGAGTTGTTTATTATTTGTATTATTTGTTTACAGCAACAAACTCGTAAACCTTAGAGATACATAAGTCGATAATCACCAAAACGACCGCTCAAAGGGGAACTAAAGAAAGTAAGATTACTATAACCAGTGCTGCCAATATAGTCTGTATTTATAACAATACCGGCAATTGTAGTAAGGTACGTTTATATCATGGTAGAAAAATACAGGTAGATGCATCAACGCTTGGAAACATTGATATGTCAAACATTTTTAAATGTCTTTTAAAATATAAGTGGATTTTTATATGTTTTCTTATATGATATTAGCGTTTTCCAACAATTTTTACAAATTTAAATAATTTTTCATTTAACATTTTCAATTTCAAAATTGGTTCGACAGTTCATTGTCATAGCAGCTGTGTCGATGCGTCTTCCTATATTCTTCTACCATGTTTTTTTATACCCTCAGCCATATGGCTACAAAGGGTATATATCATTTGATACGGTCAAAACGTACCTAGTCGAAATAACGGTTTTAGACCCTAGGTCTCTTTGGACCAAATCCGTTTCAGAACATTTGGAGTCTACCGATGTCCGTTCGTCCGTCTGGCTGGCTGGTGCGCACGATAACTCTCGAAGGAAGTATCCGATTTGATCCAAGCTTGGTACATCGTAATATTTTTGTCAAACTTAGATCGAGTTCGGAGATGTGCGATATCGGTCCACTCCTTCTGGTACCTCCCACACAAAATGTCAAAATTTCAAAGAAACGAATTTATTGCACAGAAAGAGAAAGGATAATCCGATTTTGCTCGAACTTTGCGAATCCTAATATTTTCATCAGTGCTAGACCAGGTGTGAAAATTGACAATATCGGTCCACTCCATCAAGTACCTCCCCCACAAATGATCAAAATTTTGAATAATTACAAGTCTTATAAAATGTGATTTAAGAGTCCGATAGTCTTTAAATTGCACACATCCCAATAATTTTATTAGCCCAAGGTCTGGCGTGAAAATGGAATGTATCGGTTCACTCCTTCGAGTACCTCCCCCACAAAATGTCGAAATTTTCAAAAAAAAAAAAAATAAAAATATTTTCTGCACATAAAGAGAATCAATAATCCGATTTTGCTCGAACTTTGCAAATCCTAATATTTGCGTCAGTTCAAGGTCAAGTGCGGAAATGGACAATATTGGTCCACTCCATCAAGTACCTCCCCCACAAAAGGTCAATCCCATGGCAGCGGGTTCTACGATACCGGATTGACCCGAAACAACAAGATTCCAGTTTCGGCCAGCGGCTGCCAACCCAGTATGTACATGTTTGTGTTTGTTTATTTTTCTGCATTGGGAGCAGCATATCCCGGAATGCTTGCTCCGGATTTTATTGGTCCGTGCCGGGATTGAGGAAAACCCCGGACCTTGGTTCTGCTCGGTTTGTCAGAACGTCATCCACCACAGATCTGTCTCGGTGCGATGTAATGGATGCAGAGAGTGGGTGCACTTCAAGAACTGTTCCGGATTAAGGCGTTTGCGAGACTACAGCGAAAGGGACTATGTTGCGACTTGCTGCAGTAACGTAGTCCCCAGCGAGTCCTCTTCTTCGTCGTCCTCGTCAGAGACGTCGTCGGAGTATGGCACTCCACCGCAGTCTCCAGAACAGCAACCAACACCGCAGCACCTAACGCCACATGTTGCTGTTCCAACTCCGGATTGTGCATCATTCTTGCAATTCAATTGCAACGGACTTCGAGGCAAAATAGATGAGATAGTGGAATTTATGAGTCGGAGGAATATTAAGATCGCAGCGGTGCAGGAAACCAAGCTGAATGAAAATTGCAGCCTACAACGTTGTTATGGTTACAACGTACTAAGGAAGGATCGCACCAGAAGTGGAGGTGGGGGATTAGCGTTCCTGTTACACCATTCTGTTCAGTACAGACCTATCTCGCTTGAGCTAGTCTCTAGTGACCCATACATGGAATGTATGGGGGTAGCAGTCAAGTGTGGAACTGCCGAGGTAGAGGTGCTTAATGTGTATATCCCGCCGATTAATAGCTGTGAACCACGTTATTTGCCTGATATTAGCCCATTATTGGTAGGCAATAACCGCCTGGTACTAGGGGATTTTAATGCCCACCATGAGTTGTGGCATTCCGTCCTAGGTAATGACCAGAGGGGATCAGCGCTGGCAGAGCAGATTGACTGCTCCACATTCTGCACGGTTAACGAGGATGCCCCCACCCGAATAAGAGGAGAGTGTCACAGTTCGCCAGATTTAACCATAGTGTCACCCGGTCTGATAAATGACGTGACTTGGCAACCCGTCATTTCTCTTGGCTCAGACCATCTCCCGATAATCGTCTCCATAAGCAGGTCGCCCGATTTCATAACCTCTGAACGCCGCACTTTCCTTAACCATGGGAAAGCTCACTGGCCAGAGTTCAGCGAATTCACCAACCGCCGCTTCAGAGAACTGCCCAACCCTTCTGATGTTCGGGTAGCAGAAAGGATTTTCCGAAACATCATCAGAGCTGCAGCCGCTCGCTATATACCTGCTGGTCGAATACCCGAGATAAGACCAAACTTCCCAGCAGAGGCAGCGGGATTAGCAAACGAGCGTGATGATCTCCGTCGTACCAACCCTACTGATCCTAGAATCAGTGATTTGACAGTGGAAGTCAACCGGTTGGTACAGGAGCATAAGAGGAAAAAGTGGCTAGACCATCTGAAGTGCTGCAACATTGGAACCGATATGAGTAAGCTGTGGGTAACGGTTAAGTCGCTCTCGAACCATGGAAAAAAGGATGATAGGACCTCAGTCACTTTTAACGACGTAACGGTGACTGATCCGAAGAGGTGCGCGGAATATTTTAACCGACAATTTGTCGAGCACCCCGAGAGTGATAGGGCGAAGCGAAGAGTACTACGTCGTATCAGATCTCTTCCCGCCGAGGAGGAACCACCACAGTTTACGATGGGTGATGTTGCAAATGTCATCCGTAACGCTAAGTCATCCAAAGCGTTGGGCCCGGACGGAATCTCAATGGTAATGTTGAAGCAGCTGGATACGCCGGGAGTCGAGTACTTAACAAAAGTTCTCAATTTGTCGCTAGCCACCCACATAGTGCCCGAAACCTGGAAAATGGGCCGGGTGGTCCCGCTACTGAAGCCAGGCAAGGATGCCAGTAAAGGCGAATCGTACAGGCCGATTTCGCTTTTGTCGCCAGTAGCAAAGACTCTTGAGGCTTTACTCCTCCCCAGCATTAGAGGAAGCTATGCAGTTGCCAACCACCAGCATGGATTCCGTCCACAACATAGTACCACAACAGCATTACACGCCATTTCCACACATATTAGTAGAGGACTAAACCAGAACAGGCCGTGTGACAGAACAGTGTTGGTAGCCCTTGACCTATCAAAGGCATTTGATACGGTCAATCATGCCACACTGTTTGAGGACGTACAGAGAACTACCCTCCGGCCAAGTTTGAAACGTTGGATAATCAACTATATGTGTGGACGCCAGTCGTATGTGGAATTCCGGAACAAGAAGTCCAAAGCCCGTAGAGTGAAACAGGGAGTTCCCCAAGGTGGGGTGATATCTCCGGAACTGTTTAACCTCTACCTTTCCGGAATTCCTCGCCCTCCAGACGGCATTGAGATCGTAACGTATGCGGATGATTGTACGATCATGGCGTCGGGTCCAGTGGTCGATGACATATGCGAAAGGTTGAACCCCTATCTCGCGGAGCTTGCCGCATACTTCCACGCGAGGAATATGAAAATATCCGCCACGAAATCAACGGCCACACCCTTTACCACATGGTCTGCGGAGATGAGAACACAGCTGAATGTTCAGGTCGAGGGGAATTTAATACCGACCACGAACTACCCCAAGATTCTTGGGGTAACGTTCGACAGCATGTTCAAGTCGTCCGCGCAAGCCACAGCTATCTGCGACAAGATGAAAAGTAGGAACAAGGTCCTCAAGGCGCTAGCCGGCAGCTCTTGGGGTGCGGACAAAGAAACCTTGTTGACCTCTTATAACGCGATAGGTCGGTCTGTGGTCAACTATGCGGCTCCAGTGTGGTCTGCGAATACTAGTGCTACGCAGTGGAAGAATATCCAGACCTGCCAGAACGCTGCCCTGAGAACTGCGACAGGGTGCCTCCTCATGACACCAGTGGACCATCTACATGAGGAGGCGAAAGTCCTTCCCTTACGTCAGCATAATCATATGCTTTCGTTGCAGTACCTGCTTGGGTGTTACCGTGAGAGCCATCCCAACCATCACATGGTGGATAACTCTCCCCCACCCAGGCGTGTCAGGAAGGACATACATGATCTAGAGAGGGAGGTCCAGCGCTACAAGAGAGAGCCTCTAGATCAAGAAGCCTATCAGGCAGGTCTGAGTGGCATTCACACCGATGCAGTCGCGGATGCTATTAGCAGTTATAAAGTGAATGCCGTCCTCGGAGTCCACCCCCCATCCATTGCAGCCGAAGAACGTCAGCTGCCTAGACAAACCAGGGTAGTTTTGGCGCAATTACGTTCAGGATGGTGTAGTCGCCTCAATTCGTATTGGGCACGAATTGATGAAGATGTGCGTGACGCCTGCCCGGCGTGCGATACAGGCCCGCACAATACGCTACACCTTTTTAATTGCTCAGCCAAACCTACCCAACTCACTCCAGAGGATCTCTGGCTACAGCCCGTTAAAGTAGCCGAATTTCTAAACCTGGAGCTGGAACCAGATTAGCAGAACACAAACACACACATGTACTACTGCTACAACAACAACAAAAGGTCAAAATTTTGAATAATTACAATTCTTATAAAATGTCATGTAAGAGTCCGAACGTCTTCAAATTTCACACATTCCAATATTTTTATAAACCCAAGATCTGGTGTTGACATGGAATGTATCGATCCACTCCTTCTGGTACCTCCCCCACAAAGTGTCGAAATTTTGAATATGCATGAAGCTCATAAAACGCCAAATTAACATCTGATTCCACTTAGACTTGGTACATCTCAATATTTCCATCAACACAAGATCTGTTATAAAGGTGG